CCACCTCCCCCTGCTCGGAGCTCACGCGGGCCTGGGTGGCTCATACCTTCTGGTGCCTGGCTCCCCTCATGTGGGCAGCGTAGGCGTCGGCCCCGGTGCAGGACACGGCGCAGAGGCCGCAGTGCAGGCTCTGGGCCCCTCTCGGTCCTCCGCTGGGCTGTGTCCCCGTCCTCTGAGCCGCCTGCTTCTTCCGGTGCTTCTGTCCTTCCAGGTGGTCCCGATAGGTCTGGAACAGAGGAGGTGGCCTGAGTGGGAGCCGCCAGGAGCCACACAGCCACCGTCTGCAGGCTGCAGAGTTGGCTAGTGGGGGCTGGGAGGGACACGGGGTCCCGGCTTCCTCCTCACCGCCTGGGAGGTGAGTGAGGGGCCTAAGTCAGAAGAGACAGCATGCACTGCCGTCTCCCTCCCTGACCTAAACTCCAACCAGATTGCTCAAGAAAATGTTCACCAAAAGCCCAGTGTTTTGTCTGAGAAGGGGGCTGGGGCTGTAGTTTGGGACCGAGGCCTGAGTTTTATCCCCAGGACCTCAGAAGCCAGATGTGGGATTGCAGGCCTGTCCTCTGAAGACTTGGGAGCCAGAGGCACGAGGGTCAGGAGTTCAAGGTCATCCTTAGCTACATAGTGAGTTCAAGGCTGCTGCGGGCCGCAGGAATATATCATAGAACTCAGCTGGTTATGGCAAAGTCACTACCTGGAGGGATCAGGGAATTCCTCCAGAGGAAGCCAAATCCCAAGGAGTTTTTGGTGTTACTTGGCTTGTTATATATCAGCTGTATTCTGTTATGAAAATCATGTGTGCCTTCATAGTTTTCCCAGTTGACTTTTCCCTAAGAAAGACTAACAGTGTAGACTGAGCACTCTCTGGACATACACATTCCAGGTATTTGGAGAACAGCCTCAGGAAAGGCTTTCTCTGGAATCAGATATCTCCCTTGGCCACTTTCAAGGACTACAGGAAACACCGTCCAGGTGTGCGTCTATGTGTGGTGTGCGTCTGTGTGTGTGGTGTGCGTCTGTGTGTGGTGTGTGTCTGTGTGTGTGGTGTGTGTCTGTGTGGTGTGTGTGTGTGTGTGGTGTGTGTCTGTGTGTGTGGTGTGTGTCTGTGTGGTGTGTGTGTGTGTGTGGTGTGTCTGTGTGTGTGGTGTGCGTCTGTGTGTGGTGTGTGTCTGTGTGTGGTGTGTGTCTGTGTGTGGTGTGCGTCTGTGTGTGTGGTGTGTGTCTGTGTGTGTGGTGTGTGTCTGTGTGTGTGGTCACGGCACACTTCTGACATGAAGGCTCTGGGTACGAGCCTATCATTCTGACAGGTTCTCTCTCTCGGTACTTTCTTTTCCACCACATTGTTAGTAAACTTAATTGAATCCTGCGTGGGGTGAGTCGCGCCGCATGGCCGCCGAGGCCGCTGGTCCCCTGGAACAGTGGGTACAGGGTCTGGGAAGAGCCCGGGGCTGTAGAGGACTCACTGACCCCAATTCCTGGTCCCCACCCCAGCCCAGCCCACCCTGCCTCCTGCGGGTGTGACGGGCCGACCACACCAGCCACAGCTTCTGACATGGTGACACCCGGTGACCCCCGGTGACACGGAGCGGCCTGCAGCCGGTGCTGACCTGTGGCCCCGCGCAGCTGACCCTGCAGACCTCGCAGTAGTGCATGGAGGGCGGCCTGGGGCCCGCCGGGGGCTTCGGCAGCCTGTCCAGGAAGGGCAGCGCATCGCTGGTAAAGCTGGGGTCCCAGGGCCCGAGGCCTGGGCCACCCCAGGAGTCCGAGCCCAGGGCAGCCGTCGGGGACGCCTGCTGCTTCTGCGGGCCCCGCTGGGGCTTCGGTGGGCGGTCGGAGCGCTGGGAGCTTGGGCCTAGGAGGGTGAGACCGACACTGAGCCAGGCACCGGAGCAGGGGCATGGGGGGGTGGGGGGGCTGGGGGGACGCCTCACAGGGGACAGAGTGGGCCAAGGTGGGGACAGCGGCCCAGGCTGACACTCGGTGACCATGTGGCTCCAGGACAAGTCAGGCCGGCGAGGCAGTCTTCCTAAGCGGGCCCCGCTGGTCTGCAATGGCCTCTGGCCAGCCTGTGACCTCCGTGCCCACGGGGAGATGCGGGCCTCCCGGGCGCGAGCTTTTGGTCAGGCTGCAGCTCAGCTGGAATGCAATGCAATCTGAAACCTGAGACACAGCTGGCAGGACGGCTCAGTGGATAAGGGCGCTTGTGGCCAAGACTGATGACCTGGGTTCAATCTCTGGGACCCACATGACAGAAGCGTACGACCCCCCCGGAAGTCGACCTCCACCCTGTACACGTGCCCAGATGCACAGTCAAAAATAAATGTTATAAAAACAAACACAAACACGAAAAGACCTAAGACTGCTGGGCAGCAGTGGCGCCCGCCTTTAATCCCAGCACTCAGGAGGCAGAGGCAGGCGGATCTCAGTGAGTTTGAGGCCAGCCTGGTCTACAGAGTGAGATCCAGGACAGCCTGGGCTACACAGAGAAATTCTGTCTCAAAAAATCAAAAAGCAAACAAACAGAAAACCAAACCACAATAAATGAATGAGAAATAAGAAAACAGGATGGAGTCCACCCCAAAGCAGCCCCGCTTGCTCTTGCCGACTCAGATGTGGCCACCCCAGACCTTCAGGGGACCCGACACCCACCTGGCCGGCAGAGCGAGGCTGCGTCTGGCTGCTGCAGTGTGTCCACGCGGCTCCTGGTCCCCTTAGACTCTCGGCAGCTGTGACCGTCCTCCTGGAGGGTCCCACGGGACAGGGACAGAGAAGAGGAAGCTCAGGGAGGTGGGGGGCACTGGGGACATTGGGGACACTGGGGGGACAATGGGGACAGTGGGGACATAGGAGGGCAGTGCACAGGCCAGCTCTATGGTCTGGACTCTGCTCATGCAATGTGTTTTGATGAGACACGCTCTCATAGCCCAGGCTGGCCTCGAACTCCCCACACAGCCAAGGGTGACCTTGTGCTCCTGACTCTGCAGGAGCTGCACTTGGGCCCAGCTCTGCGGTGCTGGGGACAGAACCAACAACTCTACGTGCTGGGCAGGCAAGTGCGCTACCCCGAGCTACACTCCCAGCCATTAAAAACCCACTTCATTTATTAATTGTGTGTTTTGTGAGCTTGAGTAAGCATGGGGTGTCACAGCACACACAGAGGGCAGAGGACATCTGTGCACGTCAGTTCTCTCCGTCCACCGTGGGGGTCCCAGGGATCAAATGCCGGTCATCAAGTCCAGCAGCAAGTGCCTTTTCCTCCGGCCATTTTTCCCTTTTATTTACCTTTTTGGAGACAGGGTTTCTCTGTAGCCCAGGCTGGCCTGGATCTCAGAGATCCTCCTGCCTCTGCCTCCTGAGTGCTGGGGTTACAGTTTTGGCCACCGCACCTGGACCCTGGTTTTGCTTTTTTTGAGGCCGTATCACCCCACCCAGGATGACCCAGCTCCCCACACAGATGGTGGCCTGTGCCGCCACGGTGGACCTGAGACACTGACACAGGATTGAAGTCAGGAGCACATGAGCAGGGAAAGGAACGCCGCCCACCGACGGCAGGCCCTCCGGGACACGTGGCACACCCAGGCACCACAGGTCTGGCCATTCACCACAGCCGAGGCTGCGGCCCTGTGACCTAGCTGCTCCGCATCCCTTCAGAGCACTCGAACGCCACCAACGCCGCCGAGACCACCCAGAAGGCCAGGGCTGCACTGGCTGGGACTGGTTCCCCGAGTCCCACCTCAGCCCTCCTGCTTACGCCCCTTTAAAGCCTCTCCAGTGAAACCCTCAACTCTGATCCACAGCCACCTGACCCCAAATCCTTCTCAGGGTGAAGCCAGGGTCCAGGTTTGGCCTGAGTCAGGGCGCCCCAAGTGTTGACAACGTGAATCAGGGATAGCGGGTAGCGGGCAGGAGCTGTGGGGGGTGACAGCCGGCACCAAGTCCTAGCGCCCCCATGACCGCGGCCCCTGGAGGAGACGCCCTCAGCATGCAGGCTCCTTCCAGGCCACCACCCCAGGCCGCGGCCCTGTACATGTCAGTGTCTCCAGAAACCCCCTGGGCCCCTTGGGAGGTGTCAGTGTGGTGGCTCCCTTCATCCCACTCCCCCCACCCCCACCCCCACCCTCCCGCGCCGGTCCTGACCCTAGACACGCAACTCTGATATGGCTGATGTCAGGGACACCACGTGTGTCCCCATGCGGCGCGCATTTCCTCGTGGTGTGCGGGGCTGGAGAGCTTCCACAGAGGACCCGGGTTCAGCGCCCAGCACCCTCGTGGCAGCTCACACCCCTCTGTGACTCCAGCTCCAGGAGGTCTGACACGCTCCTCTGGCCCCCGTGGGCACTGAACACATGTGTGCGCAGACATGCATGCAGGCAACACACGCATGCGCGCTGCACGAGATGGCGCTGCGATACCTGGTGGGTGGATGCAGCGGTGGCCACGGGCACAGGGCCCTGGCTGTTGGATGTGGAGTCCTGGCTGGTGCGGGGCTGGGGGCAGCCATACCCCACGGGGACTCCTCCTCCGGGTGCAGGCGGCTGGGTGGCAGGGGCCAGGGCCCGGCTGGCGGTGCTCTGGGTTCCAGGGGTGGACTGCATGGCGTGGCTGGCCCCAGCAGCTGGGAGGGGGGAAGCCGAGGATGGCTGGGTGCTGGGGCCGCCAAAACACAAAAGGCAGAGTGAGTTAACTGGGTCTCCAAACCTGCGATCCACAGAGCAGTACCCGGCCAGGCCAGCCCCTCACTCCCATGTGGCCGCAGACCACACCATCATCCCTGGAGCTCACACTAACCAGATGGCCTGGACAGTGTCTGCCCCCAGTGCCAGCGGCATGGGTGTGTGCCATCATGCCTGACACTGTAGATGGGTGCTGAGGATTCGAACTCGGGTCCTCACACTTGTACAGCAGTCGCTTTCGCCAACGGGGCTCTCAACTCCCCTGCTCATCTCCATATTCACAGTTAGAACCCACAAAACCTAGGCAAGTGAAAGTTCTTACGGCCAGGAATGGTGGTGCAGGTCTGGCTATCCCAGCTATTCTGGAGGCGGAGGCTGGAAGACTGTGAGTTCTAGGCTAGCCTGGGCTACGGTGAGTTGTTGTGTTTCTAATTTTGTCTTATGAATATGGGTATTTTGCCTGCATTACCACTTGTGTGGCTGGTGCCTGCAGAGGCCAGCAGAGGGCGCCTGGCTGAGTCACTGAAGACAGATTGTGAATCACCCTGTGGGTGCGGAGAATCAACCCTCCTGGCCTATGCAAGTGCAGCAGATGCGGGAACAGGGCCACCTCTCAGCCCCTGATCTTCCGCAGGGTCCCAGTACCTCGATCGATGTCTACCCAGCTGTCCAACCAGGAGGACCAGGAAGCCCTCCGGGGAGCCGGGGATGTGATTTCACTGTTTGCTCCGCAGAGGAGGCTCACCGGAACTATCACCGGATTCCTGCCTTCACCTTCCACGTGCTGGGAGGGCTTCTGCCAGGGACGGACCCGAGAGCCACCTGCATGCCAATGTGTGCTCGACCCACGAGGGGTAGCTTAGAGAATCCCTGGCCACCAGGGACATTGAGGTCAGAGAACGCGGGTGGGAGCAGGAGATGACGCCGGCCCGTGACACCAACATTCCATGGTGTCGGCTGTGAGTTCTGAATCAGTGAAAACTGGGGTCCCAGCAGAGGGTTCCCGGGGGCTTGTTCATGGGGCCCCCTGAGAAGTTGAAGGCTACCACCACGGTGAGCACATCTAAGACTCAAAAACTGGGCCTGGCTTGGAAGCTGCCTGAAGGGTGGCAGGTGACAACTAGCAGGCTGGGCCTACTGAAGGGGTGTGGTCCTGGGGACAGGCGGAGGTCTTTGGAGTGGCTCCAAGGGACAGGTAGTGGACACCTGCTGCCCTGGGCAGTTTCATGTCAACTTGACACAAGCTAAAGTCATTGGAGGGGACGGGGCCTCAACTGGGACAATGCCTCCATAAGAGCTGTAGGCAAGCCTGGAGGACATTTTCTTAAATAGTGATTGATAGAGGAGAGTCCCGCCCACTGTGGACGGGGCCACCCCTGCGCTGTGGTCCTGGGTTCCGTAAGAAAGCAGGCTGAGACATGGGAACAAGCAGTCAGCAGCTCCCTCCAGGGCCTGCATCAGCTCCTGCTCCGGGGCCCTGGCTGCTTTCAATGAGGGGCGGTGATGTGAAGCCCTAAGCTGAAGCAAAGGCTTCCTTTCCCTGCTGCTTTTGTTCCGATGTTTCCTTACTTAGTAACCTTGACTGAGATAGAAATTGGTACCAGGCTGGTGGGGCGTTGCCGAGGCAGACCTGGCCACGTTCTCGGGGGGCTGGGGAAACCACGGGGTGCTCACCACCAGAGAACTAGGAGGACGCTCTCACAGACACCAGAGAGGGTGCAGAGAGCCTGGCTTGGGAGGTTCAGAGGGAAGCCAAGACCCCTGGGGGCCGGCTGGAGCTGAAGAATCAGCAGTGATTAACAGGACGTCAGTCCCAGCGAGCGGGAATCTTCTGGAGAGTGTTTCCAGAGCGAGCGAGCACACAGGGGCTGTGTTCCAGAGGTGGCCCAGGCTGCACCTCACACTGGCAGCTGGACTTGGTAATGTGTGTCACCCAGGTGGTCCCGGTTGTGAAGGCCTGAAGGGGTCGTGGAGAGCAGCTGAGCCTCGACACTGTGAGGGGCCGGGAAAGGCCTTCGGTGAAGGTGCAGCCGAAGGCCCCGGACTGAAGGGGTCACACAAAGAATCTGAGGTTCACCAGCAAGAACAGCGCGGTGGTGGAGTCGGGGCCTGGAAGACGAGCCGTGTGGGCTGCAGAGGGCGGAGCTGGAGAAGTGACCTGGGCCCCTGGAGGAGCCCAGGAGGTGGGGAGTCCCAGACACTGAACCGTGAGTTAGTCACACTATTGCAGTTTGCTTTTAACTTGTTCCGGCTGTGACTGGGACCTGGTTCTTTCCTCTTGGAACAAGAGTTTAATTTCATTTGATTTTACAGAAGCCCACGATTGAGAGGCTGAATTTTTAAAGAGATTCTGGAGTTTTACAGAGACTTCAGTTATTATTGTTGTTGTTTTTCAAGACAGGGTTTCTCTGTGCAGCCCTGGCTGTCCTGGAACTCACTCTGTAGCCCAGGCTGGCCTCAAACTCACAGAGATCCTCCTGCCTCTGCCTCCCCAGTGCTGGGATTAAAGGCGTGCACCACCACTGCTTGGCTCAGAGTTCAGACTTTTAAAGAGACTGAACTTTATTTTACATTTTAAAACGGTTTGTTTTTTCTTTGTGTGTGCGGGTTCTTTGCCTGAAGGAGTCTGCAGCACCTGTACTCTGGGGCCTGCAGAGGTGACAGGAGGCGTCAGATCCCCTGAACTGAGTCACTGTTACTCGGGGTGCTGGGAATCGAACTCAGGCCCCCTGCTGTGCTGCGGTCACTGGGTCATCTCTCCAGCCCCAAAGAGACTGAATTTTAAACCATTTGATTGGAAAAGAAGTTTGTAGTATGTTTTATACTGTGATATGAGACCTTGGGGAGAACAAACAGAAGAATTTATTGCTAAGTAGTGTCATATCAGTGTGTCAGTTTGACAAGAGATCAATTGTGCCAGCTCTGTCAACCCAACACAAGCTGGAGTCATCAGAGGAAGGAGCCTCACTGAGGAAACGCCTCCATGAGATCCACGGTAAGGCATTCTCTCAGTCAGTGATCAATGGGGGAGGGCCCAGGCGGAGCCACCCCTGGGCTGTGGTCCTGGGTTCTGTAAGAAAGCAGGCTGAGACATGGGAACAAGCAGTCAGCAGCCCCCTCCATGGCCTCTGCATCAGCTCCTGCTCCGGGGTCCTGCCCTGCTTGAGTTCCTGTCCTGACTCCTTCAGTGACGAACAGTGATGTGAAGTGTGAGCCGGACAAACCCTTGCCTCCCCGACTTGCTGCTGGCTGTGGGTTCTGTCCTAACCACTCATCTCTATGTGTGCACGCTGTGTGTGACAGAGGACAACCTGCAGGTGTGTTAATCTTTCAGCCTGAGTCCCAGGGGCTGGAGTCAGGTCGCCAGGCTCGGCAGCTTTTCCACGCCGAGGCCCACCAGCTCTCAGCTGCGGGTGCCATCACAGTAATGCGACAGAAGACCCGCGGTTGGGGGATGTGTCCCCGGCTGTCAGCCCCCAACTCCCTGCACATGTCCGAGTTCTTTTCCCCCACTGACCTGGCAGTGACAGACGCGTGTGTCCACCAGCCTGGCCTCAGGCTGGCCTTGAACTCCAGACTGCCCACCTCTGCCTCCCCCCGAGGAGCTGGGACTGGAACCTGGGCCGTGTGGCCCGGACTCCACTGACTTCCAAAGACCAGAGCCTAACTTCACCCTACCTGTCTAGGTCCCCCTCCATCCCGTCTGGAGGGTCCCCCTCCACCAGACACCAGGACCCCCTCCACCAGACACCAGGACCCCCTCCACCACACACCAGGACCCCCTCCACCACACACCAGGACCCCCC